TGGAATGTGCTATGTAAAATAACATCACGACATTATTTTTAGTCACTAATCCAAAGAAGTTAGAATTTAGAGGCAGTCTCGTCTGAACTCCTAAGCAATGCAAAAATCTTTCTCTAAATATCCCTGATTGCTCATATACCTGAATCGGGAGTGCCTTTTTATTCAAAAGACAGCCTACACAGTTTTTGGACAAATAATTTTAAGAAAAATTTTTCTTATATTGAATCAAAAGAACCTCTCTAGATTTTCTACCATTTGTTCTCGTTTATCATTTTAGAGCTACTTACAATAAATCTAATCCTCTTTTTACCTGAAAAACATCAAATACTTGAAATGGTTGTGTTTCATTTTTTTTTTCTTTTTTGCCAAGCTAAAACTACCTCCACGTTGATGTCCATTAAGCTAGAGACTTCCGGCTTATGTCTCCACACTATGTGCACCATCTGTGACCCAAGCTTTCTCCTCCATCATTAAAATATTAAATGTTATGAAATGTTATGATGCTCCCAGTGTTCAGCTTTTTTTCTCTATCTAGATTCTCTCTTGGAACAACCTTATTCAAATTTTATTCTATGTATCACATCTATAAAAATGTTGCCCAAGTATACCTTTGTTATTTCTTGAAATTGGGTGCTCACCCTACTGCATTTTGTGTCTGTAGGGTTTCTCATCATGTGAATCAGCTATCATAGGGCTTATAAATTTTGGACTGATATTCCCGTTACTCTGGCATGTGTGTGTGTGTATATGTGTGCACTTGTATATGTGTGTGCATGTATATGTATATATATGTGCATTTGAGGAGAAACTCTGTAGGTCAGTATAAAAAAGTGTTCCTATACAACAATTGTGCATTTACTTCCCCTGGGTCCAAAAATGTAACAATAGCCTAGTATATATATATATATTCTTAAGACGGAGCCTTGCTCTGTCACCAGGCTGAAGTGTAGTGGTGCAATCTCGGCTCACTCCAACATCCGCCTCCCGGATTCAAGCGATTCTCCTGCCTCAGCCTCATGAGTAGCTGGGATTACAGGCACCTGCCACCATGCCCAGCTAATTTTTGTGTTTTTAGCAGAGACAGGGTTTCACCATGTTGGCCAGGATGGTCTCAGTCTATTGACCTTGTAATCTGCCCTCCTTGGCCTCCCAAAGTGCTGGGATTACAGGAGTGAGCCACCATGCCCTGCCGCCTAGTACAATTTTTAACATAAATTCCCACTATGGGTAGTATAAATTAATACTCCAGAGACACACAGAGCACAGACTAGAGTTCAGTTTCTCAGATAATCATTTTCCTTACTCAAAGACTGAGTAGAGAGAGGCTTCATCAAAAGTGTTTCCGGTCAGTAGGCATAGTTTTCTTCTCTCACCTTTTACAGGTGGTGGCTGCTATCTAATGTCTGAGGACTGCTTGAGGATCTTGGCTCCAGTTCTGCCCATTCCCCTACCTTCACCAAGAGGTTTAGTCCTAAGATTTCAGCACTTGTCCCAGTGTTAATAATAAACTAACCTATCCTCCAGCTGAGGATCTGCATCTAGTCTGATATTTCCTCCAGGCCAATGCAGCATCACTGTTGGAGCTACTTCTTAGGCTTGAAGTTCCTTCTACATGTCTGCAACCCTGAAATTTATCCTACCTTTCTTATCATTTGTTTAACGTTTATATGAACATGTTGAGTGTTTGTGCATGGGGGGGTGTGTAGTGTGTCTATGTTTTCTCAGTCTAACAGTTGCTAGAGATAGAACTCCACTGCATTTCCCCTGGGAAGCTCAAATTCCATGTATCAGAAAATACTCATATTATGATTCTACCAAAAATCTTCATTTTGTCTGTGTTTCTGCCATAATTAATAGCACCCTATTGTATTGTTGGTTTCCAAAATTTGGAAATAAAATTTTGGAATCATCTTAAATCCAACCTTTCTGTTGGTTCTCATATTCAAATGATCACCAACTCAATTTTACAACTTCAATATATTATTGCACATATTCTAGCGATCTCAGTTATGCATAAATATAATGATTATTTTTAGAATGTGAAGATTAAATGAGATAAGTAGATCACATAAAAAGTACTGCAAGACTGAAGTAATAGATTGAATAAATCAGCTACCAGCTACCTAGTTACCCAAGTCAACCCAGTATTATAATTTCAATTAGTATTGTTTATGAATTTTTACAAACTCATGTATCTCACATATTTACTTAGAATAGATGAATGGAAAAATAAACATAGACCCTCATATGACTTTTCAGTTTTTTATGATTTTCTAATTTCTATTCTGTTAGCCATCTCTGCATCTACAGTGTCTCATTTGTCTTATAAACTGAAAGATTGGTGTGAATAAAATTAAGTAGTTAAACATTAAAATTTAGCCCTCATTATCTGCCAGGCACTGTATTTTATATTTTATCTAATTTAATCTTTACAGAAACTTAATTATCTTTTTCGCTTGATGGAAGGAGCCTAGGGATATGAAAGTTAAATACTCTGATGATGGTCACAGGTAGAAAGGGTAGAACCAGGATGTAAACATACAGAGCTTGACTTCAGAGCTGACCATGTTGTCTATGATGCTCTTCTGAATGAATTAACAGTACACTAATAGTGAGATAGTTGTCATTTAGTAAATTCCAATTTGTCAAGTACATTCTCAAATCTAGTACCCAAACTAAACTTCAGTTTGGATAATATACATGGAAAATGTGGTGGAACTACTTTCTAGTTATGAATAGCAGGTGTCTTTTGATTCAATTTAATAATGGACTGGATCTGGTAGCCACATCACAATATTGACTTATATTGAGTTCACAACATAAGTGAAATAAATGACTTTTTTCAATTTGGATGACTCATAATTTTTTCTTCTCCATGTTATTATTGAGTAGACTTTTTTTAATCCATGAAAGACTTAAAATAGATCTCAAATAAATTGCATTTACTTTTAGCTCTTTAGTAAAATCTAGACGATTTTTGGAATCCTTATTTTGTCTTTTATAGTATTAATTAGTTATTCTTCAGATTTTTGTCTTTTATAGCATTAATTAGTTATTCTTCGGATTTTTGTCATTGGTTTCAGCATTTGTAAAATGACATATATGAGATACTGGCAACAAATTAAAAAGTACATATTATTTTTCCACAAAAGAAGCAAAGTATTATCCTATTAATATAAAACTTGCATTGTGTCTTTGTCTTGACACTTTGTTAATAAAATGCCCTAGAATAAGGAGAATTAAAATCTTTTAATGCTGCAAACTCATATCTTTGTGTGAAAATAAAAAGAAGAACCCTGTTCCCTGTCTTCCTGAAACAAACTGTTGTAATTCATTGGAATGATGGTGGTGCTGGTGACAAATCTGTTTTGAAAAGCCACAATTGTTATGATGAAGATAAAGTATATAACAACATTGTAAAGTGAAACATGATTCACACAGAATCAAAGAAAAAGAAGAGATTTCTCACTATAGTTAGTGGCAAAACATGAAAAAGAATAAGGTCAAAACAGAGAAGATTTTTTTTTAAAATAAATCCTTAAGATCACATACAGCCAGGCATGGTGGCTCACTCCTGTAATCCCAGCACTTGGGGAGGCTGAGGCGGGCAGATCAAGAGGTCAGGAGTTAGAGACCAGCCTGACCACATGGTGAAACCCCATCTCCACTAAAAATACAAAAAAGTAGCCAGGTGTGGTGTTGTGTGCCTATAATCGCAGCTACTCAGGAGGCAGAGGCAGGAGAATCACTTGAACCTGGGAGGTGGAGATTGCAGTGAGCTGAGATTGCACCACTGCCCTTCAGCCTGGGTGACAGAGTGAAAATCTGTCTCAAAAAAAAAAAAAAAAAAAGTGCAAATCTGAGATATAGAATGGCTAATGAAAAGTTCTTAGAATGGTGATCATAAAATCTGTCTCTATCTCAAGGCCAGTCTGCAGTGTTGATTTTAAGAATTTGTCATTGCTGTTGGTGTATTAGGCCATTTTTGTGTTGCTATAAAGAAACACCCGAGTCTGGGTAATTTATAAAGAAAAGAGGTTGAATTGGCTCATGGTTCTGCAGACAATACAAGAAGTGTGATGCCAGCGTCTGCTTTTGATGAGGGATTCAGGAAGCTTGCAATCATCATAGCAGAATGTGAAAAGGAATCAGGTATCTCACATGGCGAGAGCTGGAGCAGAGGGAAGGGAGATGTACTGCACACGTTTAAACAACCAGATTTTGTGAGAACTCACTCACTATTGCAAGGACAGCATCAAGACATTCAAGAGGAATCTGCCCCTGTGACCCAACACCTCCCACCAGGCCTCACTTCCAGCATTGGGGATTATATTCCAATATGAGAATTGGAGAGGACAAACATCCAAACTGTATTGGTAGACTATATTTGTCATCAGCAATTCTTTTTGAAACATCAGTTGCTTCAAGGATACTGCAGTCAGATGATTATCACACACTTTAACACCACAACTCGTCCTGAGTTTGTTCTGAATCCTGTGAATCTAATTTTTTTCCTAAGTTTGGAATACACTGATTCCAAAAACAGGTGTGTTTTGAAATTCTCCTTGAGTCGCCCATCATTACTTTGTTTTCATGGTGTTTTACAGAAAGCACAGACTTCGTCTAAGGCTGAGCTTCCCTGCTTTCCTCACACTTCTCCCTCCCCCTCTCTATCTCTTTTCCTCTCCCTCTTTCTTACCCTTCCTCTTTTTCTACCTCTCTCTCATTTTGTTTCAAGTAATGCTAAGTTAGAGCTAAGTCAGTAAGTTAGTAAAGTAAGTTAGTAAGTTAGTGTTAAATCAGTTGTAATATTGAGCATTCACTCAATGAAAATTACAGCCCCAGTCACAGGATAACCAGTCTTGAGGACTTTCTTTTTATGTGAAAGCAAACAACCGAATTTTATTCCACTTGCTCCCCATGGAAAGAGAAGAAGTTTGAGGATAATGTACCCTCATTTATTTCAATAGATTGTAAGATGTGAATCTTGTTATCTACAGGAAAACATGGATATTATTGAAGAAGTTAAAAAAATATGCAGTGTTCTGGGGTGTGTGGAAACCAAACAAATTACAGATGCAGTAAATGAACTAAGTCTGATTCTTCAGAGAAAAGCAGAGGTAAATCTCTTCATTTATTATACAGTAGTTTTAAACCTGAGTTCAATACTTAATTAAGAGGGTGAAAGACTTTGATTAACAACTATATTTCTGTGTGCATGTTTGCATGTGTGTGATTTTGTGTGTAACTGTGTGTGTGTTTGCATGTAGCCACATAATATATTTCAATTATTTGGGGGTATTGGCAGCTTGATTCTATTATGCCAAACAGATTTAATTAAACTAAAAGGACATTTATTGCATCTTTGAAGTTTGTAACCACCTTATAACTTTAGGTGACACTGAAATCAATCCTACAGTCCCACCTAAAAGAGTGTAATTATATAATATTCACGAGGAAATATCTGTATAGGTTGTTAATGGTTCTCATGTATACAAGTGTATACAGGCATAAGTCATGCTTTATGGATAAGCACATTTATAAAAAGAAAAATGATCCATTTTTGTGGTATCTTTTGTGAATTTTGCACCTTCCATGATTTCTGTGTGACTTTCTCTGTATCCCACATCATGCGACAATTTCCTGGTTTGGTGGGATTCAAAATGGGTTTTATGTGATATTCTTTTTAAATCTCAGAAATCTGATGTAGATCCGTAAGTGATTATTTCCAAGAAAAATATTAGGAAATCTGGTTACAATTAATTCATTTATCTTATTAATTTAGCAGATGATAAAACAGAAAGATATGATAATAACTAATATTTGCTAGTGCATTCTAATGTATAAAATAGTTTGACATATGCATTACTTCATTGAATTTAGTTATTTTATCTCAATTTATCCTCACAGCAATGTCATAAATTTGGTGTTTTAATGTTCATTTCACTGTTAAAACTCAATCCTTACAATGTGTGTGTACAGAGAATTAATAGTGGCAAAATACAGATTTGAACCTAGGCCTCTATACACATTACAGTGTATGTGAAACTTAGATAGAGTGAGTACATGAATTCTCTATCTGCATGGTGGAGAACAAGAGAGATTCTACTACCTTTGAATGAGTCTTGAAACTTTCAAAAGATTGATTTACAATATAGATAATCACATTGCTACATGGAAATCATCATGCTTACTACTTATTGTTTCAAATAGATAGGTGGGTATAAAAATTCAGTAGCTTCTTAATGTTGGGCTTTCTAGATCTTATTTAATTCAAACTTTTGTGTAATTAGACAGTAAAAAATGAATATAGAAATGTAAATATGTTCTTGACATTATATGAACAATGATGACGATAATTTTGATGAGTCATGGACATACACCACCAAAATATTTTAAAAACAAACATTAATGAAAAGCTAAAAATGCAAACCATTAAAGAAATCAAAATTTAAATAATGTAATCAATAAATCCCCAGATTCAATATCTAAGACAGAAATCCCCAAAATTCACTAAATTTTTCTTAATAAGGAAACAGCTACTCTTTTACTTTCCAATTATAGAAGGAAATGGAATAACTATGTAGTCTCCAAAATCATTGTTGCAGTAGCTATTAAGACCAATGGCCTTTACAAATGACAACAAGGTAAAACAATCTGAGTTGATCATATATAATATGATCATATTTTTCTATTCTGTGTCAATGTGAAAAAATTTATGCTAGAGCAGGGATGTTCAGTCTTCTGGCTTCCCTGAGCCACACTGGAAGAAGAATTGTCTTGGGCCACACATAAAATACAGGAACACTAACAGTAGCTGTTAGGCTAAAAAAAAAAAAAAATCTTACAATGTTTTAAGGAAGTTTACATATTTGTGTAGGGCCACATTCAAAGTCATCCTGGGCTGCATATGGCCCACAGGCTGTGGGTTGGACAAGCTTGTACTAGAGTCTTAAAAAGCATTTCACCAACATGTTTTGAAAATAACTGTTTTATGAGCTTAAGAACTTGGGAATTATATGATGCTGCAAAAGAGCTTTCTTATTGGTGATGTTAAGTCAGTAAAACAAGGTAGTGAGAATTAACTTTGAACAAGCAGTGATTTCTCTTAAATTATCACGTTAGAAACATTACAAACTCCCAGAGCTGATAATAAAATATATAAGATAACATAATGAAAATATGAGTTGGATTTAAGATCTACCAGTTTCTATCTAAACATCCTGTGGAAAATTAATTCACTTGTCGGAATTTTAAATTTCCTCATGTGAGTATGAGAAATAATGTTAATAAAGGGCCCTGATGACAGTGTAGCTTAAATGAGATCACTGTTGTTACTGGAGGTAGTGAGGATGGTGCTGGTGCTATTTCTGGAAAATCTTTCCAATAAGGCCAATATGAAGGCTTTAATTCACACAAGCCCCAGTAAGGTTGGCCCTTGCCATCTCATGACCATCAATTACAGCCAGCCTCCTGACAAATATGAACCATTGCCAGAGGAGGAGACCAGATGTGTGGGTGTGGACACATCTTCTTGTCTGTTGAGACTGTTTGGTTATTCTTCAACTTTTATGTCCAGATCTTGGTGAATTGGCAGACAAACAACTGAGCAAAGAACGAGGAAAACATAATTTTAAGATGAAGCACTTTGAATGATGTCAAAGTATTGCTGGTTATACAAAATTTTATCTTCAAAACATTCATTGTCTGAAATTCCCTAAAAGAAAAGAAATGACAATTTTTCAGAAATATCAAACTTACAATATTTGTACTTGATCTTAGCCAAAAGGCAGAGAAGTGATCAAACTTACAATATCTGAAGCTAAAAGAATTCTTCACAAAGGAATTGGGTATTTCATAGGAAAGCCATGAACAATTACAAACTCAAGAAAAACTCAACTTCACATTTCACTTTCCTTATGTACTAGTATAAACACAAAATCTTGTGCGATTTTTCCTTGAAACTTTTAAACTCATAATATCTAAATATTTATCTTGTATTTTGATAAGACTAAAATGATTTTCATGCAGAGAAACTGAGGAAAGAGTTGACAACTAGTTTTATTTAATCTATGTCAGTGGAAGATAGTTTAATATTCTGTAAAAACTGGACCCTACTTATTTTGAGTAGACTATTGAAAGCTCATTTATTCTACATTAGTTGTATTCATACTTTTGTTCATCTCTTTTTCAATCCCATTTTAACTGTGAACCTACCTATATAAGAATATTGGCATACATAGTAAGTACATTTTACAGAATTTGTGCAGTAGCCAGTTAACAATGCCAAAGCAGTCTGTCCACCCACCATGAACTTAAGATTGAAGAAATACTGACAAATACAGGTTTTCTGCCAACAACTGTGAAATTTGAGAAGCTTTTCTTTTTCTTGGCTGTATTTTTGGTCAACATGCAAAGAACTATTTCCTGCCATACAGGGAAGTCATTAGGTGTTTATTAAATGTCAGTTTTGTCAAGTCTAAGAATTATATAACAAACATACTTGTACTCTATTTTATTCTCTGACCCAGCACTGGAAACAATTTACATCCTTCAAATTATATTCCAGAACTCATATAATTTAATTTCCATTAAATGCTTACATAATAGGCAAGCCGCAAAGTGAAAATATGGTCTTTCACATCATGGTGTAGGTGGATGTCATGGTGATTTTCTATTACAAGTCTATATTTCTGAATAAATTGAATTCTAGTTAAATCAGGATAACATTTTTAATAGTCTCACCCACATGGATAGGGTGAAGATCTTATGTGTAATTGTTAAGACTAGCAGCTGATAACTAAACTCAGGTGAAATATTTTACCTAATAGAAATACTTCTGTAAAGGTTCTTGAGAAAGATCCCTTAAATTGTGAAGTTGCATATAAATGTAATGACATTTTAAATATGATCGAAATGTTCTCTCTCTAAAGGAATACTGTAACAAATTTTTTGTTATGAAAAACAATTGTTCTCTATTTGTTTGAGAAATCTGGCTTTTGACTAATTATATTTCCTTAAATGCAAGACTTGAAATTTTATTTTTTATTTTTTAAATTTTGAGTTTATAAATTTAAAATATTTTAATGTCAATTAAAATGGATCTTATTAAAAACTGTATTTCCTTTTTGGATGAAACCTTTTTTTAGGATGTCTATAAATAACCTTGTACAGTTTTCAGGATAGTTTAGTTACAACCAGCAAATCTTAAGCCACCAAAGTAAGTCTAGGCTTCTAACAAGGACAAAAATAAATAAATAAGAAAGGCCATCACACACTAATGGACATCAACTTAAAGAATAATGAAAATGAAAACAAAAAAACAGGATTTCAGATTGTATTTTTAATTTAGGATATGACTCAAGATATTTTATTTTTCCAAGCATTTGGCTATCAGTTATTTTTAATTCCCCAAAAAGAAAAAAAGAAAGAAAACTATTTAGTGAATCTATAGTGATTTTGTCTACGTCAATTCAGTCTTCTTTTTGGTGCTGTCCAAGGCTTGCTGAATAATTGCTAAGAATAACAGCTGGACACGGAATACAGAGAGAATTAGAATGCACTTTTATCAAAAGATTAGTCACTTTTGTGAAGGGGGGATTGAACTTAGACAACCTATTGTAGTAATTTCTTTTATAAAAATAATTAAACAACCTACATTGCTTATTACAATATTTAGAGAGTTTTTATTTCATCATATAATTTAAATTTATTCTGTTTAATAAGCAAATTGATATATGATGCCAAGAAATATTTTGTCATTTTATCATGACAAATAAATTATAATGTTTAGATTTTGGATATTACCATTTGATTATTTTGTGAATTTTTTTCTGTGAATAACAAGTATACTTTTACCTTTTTTTCAGAATTTTTATCAAAGTTCAGAGACTTCAGTAAAAGGTAAAATAAACATCTACTCAAGTATTTTGAAATAAAGAAAAAAGTAAGTGATAGAATCCAAAATAATTTTTTGAATTATTTATTCAAATACTATGGTAACACACAACATACACACACGCACACACACACACACACACACACACACACACAGAGCTTTTTGAGGAGAAAGATGCTTCTCTAAAACTCATTTTATTAGTGGAAGTGATTATTCTGCAAAGGAATAAAAATCTGCACTCTCGAAACTTTTAGCCCAATATTTTTAGAATAATGAGAAAAGTCTGGAGATTCATAAAAATTAAAATACAGAAAATATAACTATTCTAAAACATTGAAAATTTTATCATTTACCTAATTGTATTTTGATGTAAGAAAAATTAGAAAAGTAGTATATGTCTATATGCAAGGTCACCCACTTCAAATTTAAATTCCAGCTCTATTTGAAAGACCAAGCTAATATAACAGGTAGTAGGAGGCTTCAGTTCCTGAATAATTAGTGTTCACAGAGGCTCCGAGTCTATAAAATTGCAAGACACAGGAGGACTTTGCCTCTATAGAAAACAGTAGGTGTGAGATTGCGTGGGATAGAGCAAAGTCTTAACTTTGGAATCAGACAGAACTGGTTTTAAATCTCAACTCTACCACTTTCAGAGTCTGTGATTCTAGATTAAACTCTTTGATCTTGTTATCCTGATATACATAAGCAATAGAATAGGATTTAAAATGCAGGGTCTGATCAGGATTGTTCTTGGTTGTATTTGGTAGATGGTATTTGGCATAGGAATACTCTGAGTATCTGCAAGAAAACTGTTTGCCCCTCAGATGTTCAGCTAACACCCTTGGATTCAGAAAAATCCATTGGAAAGCAGATGAAAATCTAACCTGCCCTCCACATCCTTAACTGCTTAAGTAAAGAGTCATGTACAAAAGTATATCCTCTCAACTCTAATTCCCACCACTCAAAAGAAGACATTCAATTATGTTTGAGGAACTCTCCCACCTCAAATTAAAAAGGAAAATAGGGTGGCAGGGAGTGTAAAGAAATTTGTGCTAGTACAAAAACCTCTATTCTAGATGTTCATAAAACTCCAGAACACCATAGAGGGAAGGAAGGAATGGACATTCCTGACAGTATTACTAACAGAATCTAAGTGGTAGTACGTGGAGTGAGCAAGCTCTAGGTGTTTCTGTATGGCACTGATTCTCCCTTTCTATCAGGAATGTTGTAATGAGGTCTCCTCCCCCATATTCCTCAGGGAACTGGAGTATGAAATCACACAAAACTGTACAGAAATGTTGCTGGAGACTTACATTCTATAATAAATCATGACAGATTTTAATCGAGTCTAAATTGCACATAGATTGTCCTTGCCTCTTTATTTCATGGCACTGTAACTCTTTTCCAGAGTAAAATTAGGTGTGATAAAAACTTTTTCTACCGTATTTTACCACTAAGCCCAGTGTCTTGGGTGCTTAATACGTTTTGATGATGTTATTTGAAATGTATTCTTCATCCAGAGCTCTGGAAGTAAATCATAATGCATAAACACACATCTCTGTACAAACTTAAGGAAGCAAATTATATCCAAGAACCATGTTTCTGCACGAAAAGCAAAAAGTAGAGTTGGGGTAATTAACCAAATGAGTAAAGTTCCCCCAAAATATATGCTACAGCTTAAATTAATAAATCAAACTTATTATTTATTTTAGATGTGCATTTATTTGCACAATGTTGAAAATTCTTGAAAAGAAGTTTGTGCTTCCTGCTTCATCATACCAAAAGTACAATTTGGGGACAGAGAAACAAGATATTTCCATAAATTTATAATTCTCTGCCTCCTGCTGTTCAGGAGAATCTCTGTTGGTTGGCCTCCGGAGTTTGATGAGGCCTCTTTTAAGACTATTTTTACACTGCTTTACACTCTGCTTCATTAATTGCTACTGCTGATTTCTCAGAGAATTTTAATTAGAGAGTTCTTTTTTCCCCTCTGCTTGTCCCCTCAGGCTATTTCAACAGAGGGCACAACTTAAAAAATATAACACATAAGTGAAATTAATCTATCTTATACATTTTGTACAAATTTATGAATAACTAAGTGAATAATAGCATGTGTTAAACAACAGCAAAAATGTTTAATTATATACAGAGCTACTGAGGCACAGACAGGATGTGGGAGGAAGCTCCGTGTCAAGCTGGCCCCTTTCCTGAAGCATCCAACTGCATGTGTGCTGGAATATTGTAGAATATCTATCCCTTTGTACTATTTTCTTTTCTAAACAACCAGAAACAAAAACCAATCTATGATTTTTTTTTAACTTATAAATTGTTTATTTCTGGAATTTTCATTTAATTTTTTTTTACTTAAGTTGACTTTGGGTAACTGAAACTGTGGAAAGTGAAAGTGCTGTTAAAACTGAACTACTATATAGGGAATTGCATGTTTGAAAAACAACTTATAAAGAATTGCATGTGTTTGAATAAACAACTATGTTGACTGACAAAACATGGCATCAACTCACAGCAGATCTTAAGAGCACAATTTCTGATGATGAGCTTACTTGTTCTCTCAATATCTACTTAGCTGCCAGAGGAAAACTATTAGTCCCTATATCTAGTAATTTTTCTTCATTTTTCTTCTTTCATGACAAGTCACTTTTAGGAATAACAAGTAGGCTCCTTTTAAATAACTAATGGCAAAACTCAAGAAAGGCTTTGATTTTGAAGACATAAAGTAAACATCATAAATCTTTCATTTCAATCTGGTTGTAAATCCTAGCCATGTACTACCATCATTCTCTTTTTATATCAGTGCATTGTATATGATTAGTGTTCAGTTAATGGTAAATGTGATAGTATCATCAAATTTATTATGATTAATTCTTTAGATGGAATTTGTTTGATATACTTATAAACCATGTAGAAAAGATATTCCTTGTCTGAAAATTAATTTTAAATAATCACAAATCAGAAGAAAAAATATTACAAATTAAAGTTGATCAGAATGTCAAATTAATAATTGTAAAAATTCCAAATTGTGATCAAAAGGCTATGCTTTCAAGATTTCTGCAGCTGAAGATCGGAAAGCTCATTGATATCTAATCTACTATTAACTAAACCAGGTTGCATTCATTCAGAAGTACTGATGGCTAATTTTCTACAGTTGGTAAAGGGCTACTTTAATTAAATTTTATTTAAATTGTATTATAAAAAATGTCAAAGCTATAATTGATGGCCTATGATAAATATAGCCCATCTTAGTGACTTGATCTCTATCTCTTCCCTTCTAGGCTTGATAGAGAAGGTAACAACTGAACTATCCACATCTATCTACCAGCTAATCAATGTCTATTGTAACAGCTTTTATGCAGATTTTCAGCCTGTAAATGTATCTAGATCCATATCCTGTCTAAATCCTGGGCTTCCTTCCCACCTCAGCTTTACAGTATATGCCGCACATAACATTCCAGAAACCTGGGTGCACAGGTGAGTAGCAGTGAGTTTTTCACAAAGAAGTTCATTTTTACATAGCTTTTAAGTAGAATGCAATTTGTCATGTCCTTACATGCAGGGGCAAAAATTTCATAAATTTTTGGAATTAGTATAGGTTTATCCTTACTCTTAAAATCACATTTTAAAAGTTTAGATTCAAAACAGATATTTAATTTTCTTTCTTCTTCCATTTTCCATATTAAAATTGTTGCCATTGCCAATATATCTTTATGGAAATGAAACATACTCATTCTATTTAGTGACCACCCTAAAATTTGCTTTTTCATGTTTGGATTTAAACGACTAACAAAATGGTTAAGAAAACGTAGCGAGACAAAAACACATACACATGCAGAGAGATGGAGAGTCTAAAAATAGTAAGAAAAAAATCACTCTGATCCCCATTAGGTTTCAGAGTGATTTTTTCCGAGAACAGTACCTTAATAAAATGAGAATTAACTAAGAATTATTTGAGTTTCAACACAAATGAATGACAATTATGCATGGAATATCACCAGATTTTAAGTTGACTCTACTATGTAGTATTTTCTTCAATAACATAATTACAGTAATACAGAGATAATTAAAGTTGATAAGATAGTAATTTAGTAATGGATTTATTGTACTTACTGCATTTAGCATCTCAAAGAAAAACTGAAAGAAATAATTTCAGTAAAGATTCAATTTTTGGCCGGTTACAGTGCCTCATGTCTATAATCCTATCACTTTGGGAGGCTGAGGTGGGTGGATCACTTGAGGTCAGGAGTTCAAAACCAGCCTGGACAACATGGTGAAACCCCATCTCAACTAAAAATACAAAAAATTAGCGGGGCGTGGTGGCGCAGGCCTGTAATTCCAGCTACTCAGGAAACTGAGGCAGGAGAATCACTTGAAATTGGGAAGCAGAGATTGCAGTGTGCAGTGAGCTGAAATCGCACCACTGCACTCCAACCTGGGCAACAGAGAGAGACTTACCTCAAAAAAAAGATTCAATTTTTATCTTGATCTGTATTTTTTTTACAAATAAATCAAATAACTATTTGTAAATTAAAAAGGAAATTGTACCTGTGTATATAAAAAGCACTATGTACATGTTTGTTTAGAACCCATGAAATAATATTTTTATTCCTTTTTCAAAATTTTATGAAAAATTTTAAAGGGCTGATGCATAATAAACTAAGTTATTACTCTAATTAATATTTTCTTTTTTCTAACCATCAATAAACACTCTTTCATTTGAATTCCCATGGAAAATTCCCATAGCCAGATAAATACAGATAAAGCTATATGTAGAGGGCATGCATTTATATATGTCTATATGCAGATAGACAAGGATAAATATATATCATATATAAATATATGTGTAAATGTAAAATGCATGTGTGTGTATGAATGATCTAACCAACTCTCCTTTTTCTGTCTCTACATAGCACGTATATTCAGAGTAACAATAGAGCACTTTTTAATATTGTTACATACAGGTAGATGTGTACATATGTACATATAATTATAAATATAAAATAATGCTTTTCTGCATAAGTTCCTATAATCAATAAATAAATTAGGGCTTTGATGAAGGAAACAAAATCATCCCAGCCATTCATTACTGTAATAAACTATAAAGGGCTGTACACAGGGAACAAGAAGCTATTCCTCTCTTAGAAATTCATGGACCAGCCAAAATTCTTTGGGAAGAGGCTCCAGTAAGATGTCTTACCTCATGACAAATTGCATCTTTATTGCAGATTTTCCTAGGGACCTAGTATATGAATTATCCATTAATATATAACAAATTACCCCAAAACTTAGCAGTTTAGCACAACAAACTTTAATGTGCTAACCTTCTGAAGCTCAAGTATCTGAGAAGCAGTTTTGCTGGGCTGACCTGGTTTAAGGTTTCCCATGAGTTGCAGTCAAACTGTTGGCTAAGACCACAGTCACCTCAAGCTCAATGGGGCTGAAGAATCTACTTCTAAGCTGGTATTAATGTGGTTATTAGAAGACCTCAGTTCCCCATGGTGTATAGGTGTGGGAGCCTCAATTCCTTGCCACAGAGTTTTCTACAAATGTCCTTAGGCCATAGAATTGGCTTTCCCCCGAGCAGATGCTCCAAGAATGAGAGAGAGTCCAAGATCAAGGGAACACCAGAGACAGAAGAGGCAAACTTTGTAATCTAATCTTGGAGGTGGTATACCATTCCTTCTGCAATATCGTACTCTGTGGGAAAGCATGATACAAGGGTTCACATACCAGGAGGCAGAATCATTTGGGGCTATCTTGGAGGCAAGTAAGTGATCACACCTGGGAAGAAACCAGGCCAGAGACAGCTCCAGAAGCATAAGTACTGACAAACTGAGGGGTTAAAATAACAAAGTGGCAACTTTCTAGATAGCTTTAGTCAAAAGGACCATAATTAATGTCAGAAACTGAAACTAATTTGTTAAAGTACAAACTTAAGGTACAGGACTCTACAATAAAAAATAGTGAAGCTTTCATCATAAAATCTCAGGATTTGAAAGTGAATTATCATCTACTCCATACATGCCTTCAGGGAACATCCCACTCAAGCTAACATAGACAAATGAGAATCTATCTTACTTAGAATAATTTGACTAAACAAATTATATCCTTGATTCATTACACTGATTAAGAACTCATTCATATTTATCCTAAATGTCTCATTATATAGGATAGAAATTTCATTATTTAACTTTTTCCTCTCTACAGATTGAAAGTGCCTTTATCTCACTCAAAGATGAGATAAATTTTTCATTTTATGTATATATTTTATTATGTTCATTATCTTAATGATAGCATATTATCAGCTCTCCCCAAATCACCTTTTACAATGTCCATGCACTTTTGTTTGTAGGACTATATTTTTTAAAAACCTCTAGTACCCAAAACATTTTCTGGCATACAATAGGGGCTCGATAAAGATTTGTTAAAAGTGTTTGAATAAAATCCCTTGAATAGAGAAATGAGTCATACTTAGTTTGTGAAATTGTTACATGTGTCTCCAGAGCAGGAGTAGTTAGTCGATGTCGTGGTTATTACTGAGGGCAAAAATAAATGCTGAGCTGAAAAGTGTGAAGAAGTAATGACCTTAAAGGGGGGTAGACCAGGAGATATTCCAAGAAACTCAAGAAGTATTACATTAGACGTACAAAGCTAAGTGCCTGAAGTCAAGAGGGCGAGCATCAGTGAAAGTGAGTCCAGAGCAATTAGTAGCAATTAATGGCAGTGTCAGAATGATTGACTAGACAATTGTTAAAATTATTGTAATAATTATTAAGAGGACAGAAGAATCATATTATCACATGAGAAGGTTATATTAAAAAGTCAGTAAACGTTATTTTTAAAAATCCCTTAAGTCATTCATAAAGTATACTATCATGGTTTGATAAATAGAATGCAAAAATAATTAGGCAAAAAATGCATAATTTGCACAGTAATCTATATTATGTAATAAGGCATATCTATACAAAAATGATTTGAGAGTATTTTCAATTATGGGAGACTGTGTGCATAGCGGCAAGATGAAATTCTTTCTCATCAAGCGGATGGCCTTTCTATGGGGAAGATTTGAATGGCATATAGAGGTTCCTTGTCCTATAACCTTTGTCATTAAAAGGTACATGTGTACAGTTTGTGTCTTCCATTCATGTCACTAAAGTCTAATTTATAAACTTGGCTCATCGTGTTAGCACATTAAGGAATGTGTGGGAAACAGGTACAATCTCTCAATATAAATACTAACGCATATACCAAACAAATGTTGGTATATAGACCAACATATTGGACTCTGAATCAAGAGCATCATTAAATTTAAAGTCCTGAAAGGGTATTGAAATATTCAATTCCCTGGAAAGAGGTAACAAAGTAATAACATTGACAGAAATCCAAAGACAGTTTGATGGGGTTAATAATAATAGTGGGGGATACCAATATTCCTCTCTCAAGAATTAATAGATTAATAAGAAATTAGAAAGAATACAGGAATGAGCAAATATAATTAAGAAGCTTGATCCAATAAATATATATTGTACCTTGGAAATATAAATTCTTCTCAAGCACATATAGAATATTTATTTTAAGTGGCCAAAAATTAAATAAACAAATTTGAAATAACGTATGTAATAAAGATCTCATCCACTCTGTGATGCAATTTAGAAAACAATAACAAAAAATATATATATTCATAAATTTAAATATGTACTTTTAAGTTTATTAATCAAAGAATTTAGAGAATACTATAAAGGTAATAAAAAGATATAATAACACATATGGAATATGGCCAAAGTTATTCCTAAAGGGAAAAATATAGCCTCACATGTATAAATTAGAAATAAAAGACTAAAAATTAATGTGGCAGGCATGTCACCATTTCTTCTATGCCATTTTATTTTGTTTTGTCCAACTTATGAAAATCGAGGATAATAAGAGGAAGAAAAATCAATAGCATTCTGGAAGAACAACAAACAAGTTCTAGATCCTCTAATTTGTCCTTATCATGGTACTTACTATTCACTGAGCACATTCTATGAGTTTTGCACTGGGAAAAATACTTAGCTGCATTACAGTTGTCCCTTGTTATCTGCAAGGGATTGGTTCCTGGACCTCCAGAGATAACAAATGTCAGAGATTTGAAGCTCCCTACATAAAATGGCACGGTATTTGTATATAGCATATGCACATCATCCTTAAATCATCTACAAATTACTTATAATAGTGCAATGTAAACTATGTAAATACAGTCATGAATAGCTTAATGACTGGGGGAAATATGTTCGGAGAAATGCGTTGTGAGGCAATATCACGTTACCACCAACTGCAGTAACACGGTGTACAGGTTTGTAGCCTTTGAGCAACAGGCTGTCCCCTATAGCCCAAATGTGTAGTAGGCTCTGCCATCTATGCTTGTGTAAGTACACTCTAGGACGATCGTATAACAACAAAATCACCTAATGCTGCATTTCTCACAATATGTCCCT